GTAGCAGCACTAACTGGGATATGGGTCCCACTTGAGAAATTAAATCCTACAAAAAGATTCTGTAAGCAGCACCCTCTTCACGCATCAGCTGGATGACAGAGCTGACCTTTTGGATCCCACTAAAAGTACAGAGCAAAATATTAAACACTCGCATGCAGAGACAATGACAGCAATTTCAATGACCTTTGCACTCAAAAGGAAAAACCTAATTCTCTCCTTCAAAGCTCTACATAATAATTTTTAGCTGAATAGCACACGTCAGTTTGGGAGCTGATGATGCAGGTATCATATGGAATGAATTTTTCAGTGATGGGCATTAGCCAAGCTCTCATCAGCGTGCAGCAATGCCAGAGAGAATAACCAGAGTGTTACTGGTCTCCTACAATTTTCTAATAATCACCTTTGCCCTCTACCTTTATTGACTAAATTCTCTGACTCACAATACGCTGCAGGAGCTCTATCTTTTAAAAAACCCGAAACAAAAAACCAAACCCAAGACTAAACATGTTTGTTAGAATCTCATCCTGTTTCACAACAGGGATTTCTAACCCAAAACTAAAACTGAAACTGCACTTCCAGCATTTCATAACAAAGTCAGTAAAGCCACATCTTTGTGTTTTCTAGATCTGTAACTGAACCTGGATTGCCTGTCTTCTTTCTGTTCTTCTCCTCATAACTTTTAATCACTTAAAAAAAAATCCAGAGCAGTGATGATTTATTCATCCTCAATCATCCAGATATCCTGTTCCACTTCCAAAGATCTGATATTTCCACTCAATTTTCTAAATTTTTACATAGAGGACTGCTTCTTCCAATTATTTTGGTAAGTTAAGGATCTAATCAGACAAACCCATACTGTGTCCCTCTACCAAGTATTTCTACCATATCCAGGACACCCACTGCACTCAAGACAGCACAGGTAGTTTCCTGATGTAATGACATGATTAATAGGCACGCTAATTAGGAAAGTTTATATCCAACTCAACCCCAAAATGTTCGCCCTGTAAATTGTAAATGTACCAGTTTAAGGTATTATTTCCTCACATACATTCTTATGTACATTACAGTTCACACTGCACATTAAACAGTCCAAATACCAGAGCTGTCATTTAATTGCGCACATCTCAACAAAGTACCTTTTTTAAATGCATGTCCTACTGAAAATGTATTTCTTTACCTTGGCATTAGCTGGACTCCGTGAACTAGATGTGCAACATTCTTCAGCAGATGCTCTGCCCTGACCCCCTCAATGTTTTTTGTTTCAACACCATTTCACATCATCACTTTGCTTTGCTCTAGGCATTTCAGAAGGTTCAAGAATATCACAATTCCAGGTAAAATCCCCTTCGTACCTACGTGGTACAGATTAGTGGGATGGTCACCACCTTCTGCAGTGGCAGCTGAGACTGGTTTCTCCTGTGCTGCACAATCCAGGAGTCTATGCCTTGGACTTCCAAGTGTGGATTTCAACATGCAATAAAAATCCATGACAATTGTATCAATCAGCAGCTCCTGGTATCAGGATATGCTTGCTGTACATATTCCAGGATCTCCAACAGCTCCTGCAGGAGGAGTCCCTTTATCCTTATCACATCAACAAACATCCTTTGCATGTAGAATCCATTGCATATCCTTTATGGGAAAATGTGATCTTTTCCTTTGACCCTGTTCAGCACTGGTGACTTATTCTGGTTAGCCACTGGAGCTTCCTTTTTAAATGGCAACCATGCACTTTGGAAACGCTGCTAAATCCCCACATACAATTGCCACCACACTGGTGTAAGTCTCCTTCCTTTCAAGAGATCCCGATGGGAGCCAGACAGCATGGAGAAACACTTTGAAAATGAGCCGCCTTATCCAAACTCTCATTAGGTCACTCACTCCTCATCCAAACAGGTAATTCCCAAGTGGCTGGCAGGCCGCTCATTTTCGTTTATACACAATCTGCTTCAATGTTCTGCTGCAGGTCATTTCTGCTCCACAAATTCTAAATTACAAAGACTTCCAACCCTTTTCTTTCTTTCAAGTTTAGGGTATCCATGAGATCAAGACGTTAATTGCTTTTGCAGGATGGAGTAGGTAAACGTTCTGTACAACAGCTGCTTTCAGAATCCACTCAGCACTTTATTATTTTCTCAGCCAAAAGAAATTTTTATTTCCAACTGGATTTATGACTGTTCTGGATCATTTCCAGGTTCTCCCAAGAAGCCATTACACGTTGTTTAAATTCCTTCTGGCTTGGTTTTAGAATTGTGGTAGCTCTGCTTTCTGTAAAGACTTGGCCAACAAAGGTGACCAACATGCACGACCCCCTCCCTACTAGAGAGCACCCCCACCTCTGATCACAGCTGAGTTGAAGGGTTTTAAACACTCCCCACTGAGAAATACTTCCCATGGAGTCAACTGTGGTACCATTCCTTTATTTGTTCTACACGACTCCTACTACTTTCCAACCGTGGTGCACAAGGAAATATTGAATCTCCACAACTGCCACAGGCTCCCACGTAGAAAACCTCCAAGGCTCCCTCCCAGCTACCCAAAAACCTTCTGCCTCTGCTGCGTGACACCACCCCGAAGAGCCAAAAGCGTCAAATTCAGCAGTTGCAGCACACGCTGGGCCGCTGTCACGGTGCTACAGAGATGACTCTTCACCGACATAAATCAATGCAACAACTTTTTTTAAACAGGTAGAATAGAACAGACACTATGAAAAAAAACCAATTTTTATTCAGTTGAAAAGAAGTCATTTACTCAATCACATTAACTATGCTAAAAATGATTTTTTTTCTGACTACACCAGCAGTTAAATATTTTCAGCACCAATTCAGGACACATTAGTGACATTTATCACAACAGGTCTATTTCTCAATGTAAAGGACACACTAACTTCAGTAGCTGCTACTGGGAAAGGAGTAAGCAGAGGACTGCCTTTCTTCCCAAATACTTATGAGTGAAAGTAGCAACTTCTAGAAATAAATAACTGCCAAATTATCTCCCAAATCTTTAAATCGATCTTTTAAAAATAGAGTTAAAATAGATATCTTAATATGAGCTATCATAGATTTTATTTGTATGTGCTGAATACTCCAAAATGCGAGCAGTTGAGCAAGCATCCAGTACATAACTTTTAAAATAGTTCTTCCCTCCCCACAATATCAACCCCATTTTTTATCCATGTCATGCTGGTTAGATCCCTATCTCTAGTGACTTCCCAGTAAACACCACGTGTTTGATATCGCTAGGATATGCTACCGTTCTATGAGTGAAAGAAGTCAGTGACCTGGTGAAATACCACCAACTCACACGAACAGAAAATTCATCCAGTCATTGGCTCGTTATCTCTGAACATCAAACAAATCCTAAGCTTTAGTTTTTCAAAGCCTTTGTGGTCTTCCTCTTGCTGGGCCAGTTCAGAAGGTCATCACTGAAGGCAGAACCGATGAAGGCAAAGAAACCAAAAAGCAGCAGATAGTACTGTCTCTCTCTGTCCTTTTAAACAAATCAAGTTCGCACAAAACAAAAGGAGACAAGGTTAAAATGAAGTTTATTAGTTTTTTTGGCTTTTTTAAGCTTTTTTTATATAAAACTGTTTGTGAAACAGCTATTTTTATTCCCATGGCAGAGTGACCCCTGAAAGATGCACTAACCCCTTTCTTAAGGCCTTAACAAGAAAAAATTATGATTTTTTTTTGTTTTGTTCCTTAAACCCAAATGTTTTAAAATTACATAATTTACAAAAAAACCCCCACCCCAAATAACCATATAGTGTAGGCTGTTACACTGACATTCCCTCTTCCTTCCTTAGGAAAAGCAAATACATAAAATAAAAAAAAGGGCCAAGTGGATTTTCCCCAATCAGTTTGAAGATACATTGACCACCAACATTCAGACTTCCTTTTGTTCCCCAATCTGGCAGGTAAACCATGACTTCCTCTCACCTGCCTTTCAAACTGAAGGCAGCTTCTTGGAATGATTTGGGGGTGCACTTTGTTGCCACAAAGGAGAGATACTCCCTTGCCCCGTGTGGGACAGCTGTTCCCACTCAAATGAGGTGTATGGGATCAAACAGGCAGCAGGCTCTTACTTCATGAGTCTCATGACCCAAGGGTCTTCAGATGTTTTTCAAGCTTACACCATTAACAGTGTTTCTCAAAACACTGCCCCTCAGAAAAAGTACTGAAACCCCATCACCTGCAACCATCCAAGCCTTCCTCCCACACCCCGCAATCAATTCATCACTATTTTATTTGCCTTTTAAAATGGAATTTCATTGGATGTTGTGAGAAAGAAAGCAAGAGGAACAGAGACAAGTCCTGTTTGGAGTGCTCCCAGTTCTGCTATTCTTTCCCACAAAACGTTAGGCTCAATGAGCCTTGCTTTAATTTTGGGTTTAATATTTACTTAAGCTATAGGTTTCTTTTTTAATTTATATGGGGTTTTGTTAATCAAAAGCATCAAAAGGGATATAGCGCACCTTTCATTTAAAACAAAGTCTTTCAAGACTAAAAAATAGATCTTTATATATATATATATTTATCCCTCCCTCTTTAATTCCCCCCACCTGTTTCCTTTTTCCCCCTCCCCTTCCCACTGTCACTATGGAGATTGTGTCCATGGAAACAGCTGGTTCAGACTCCTTGGTCAGATTCTGTGATGTCATCAGTCTTGAGTGTGATGTAAGAATTTATGAAGGAAGTGCTGGCATTGGCAGGCACGTCGAGAGGGGGCATGGCTGCACAGTGGGAGAGATTCCATTCAGTCACGAATGTCCACCGCTTTTTATCTCAACAGCCTAACCTGAAAAACAAAGTGAAAATAATATTGGAATGGTTCCTTGCCTCTGCCTGCCAGCAGGCCCCCCCCAGCTTTGGAAAAACCCACTCAGCACCTACCACAGCAGTAACACCAAGAGCTCTTAAGTTTTGTGGACTGAAAACGGATGGAAGCACAATGGTGAGGAGTTCATAAAAGCAAATCCATGGATAAAAAGCATTAGTTTAACAACCAGTAAAAGATTAAACAAGCCCAGTTATGGAGCAGGTCCAGGATGACGGGATGATCCGTGCCACGACTCTGACAGAGCCACTACCGCCAGCGGCCAGACAGGAGCTCGCTCACCTCGTGCTCGCTCCTCACGCTGACAGTGAGAACGGGAAAAGAGGGGCCAAGTGTTCCAATGTGATGACAGCTTATGGGATGCCATGCTGCCCCTCAGGGACTGGACCCAAGCGTTTTCATATACAGGTCACCCCACCACCATGCAACAGTGCTTTCCGGTGAACATGTAGCAGATAGTGAAACCAGCATCAAAATTACAGGAGTCCAGTCACAGGAACCAAATCTGGGAAATGGCTACATTTCACCAGCTAAAGGTAAAGCTGTGGTTTAACTAATTGGAGGGCAGGTAATATTTCTTTATGTTGCTTTTTTGTTCTAATTGTCATGTTATGGTGGTGGCAGCAGTTCACAGAAGGACTAAGCTTGTGATGTCTTTCAACATAAATGTGGAAATGTCCAAGTGTTTGGCACATGTTCTCCCTGTCCACAAATTCTCAGAGGTGAGAAAATGAACTTCAGGAGTTTGCTAGGTTGGTGGAAGCTCAGTTCAAAAGAGAAACCACAATTTCATTTCTCTAAGCTATGGTTCTCATTCTTAATCTGCACAGAGAGAAAGCAAAGCTTGAAATAATATATTCCTTTTTTCCCTTCTCCCAACAATTTATTTATTTAGTAAGGTTACTTACTTTGATATGACTTAGATAAATCCCTTCCTACCAGCTAGTGAGCTTGGGAAAAGGAAAAAATTTGCAACATAAGTGATGCATATGGAAAGCAGTTAACTGAATTAGAGGTGTGCCTGGGAACGAAGTAACACCCATGTTCATTCATAGCTGGCAATTAAGCTCCAGGAACCCTAACTAAGTGTGATACAGAAGTCAGTGCTGCTCTCATCATCAGCACATCAATTAGATTACATCCCAGCAAGCCTAACACTTGGCTGCAAATATCCCCCACCCAGGGGTGCCAGGCTGAGAGTGAAGAGAGAGTCAGGCGAGTACGTACAAAAACCAGACGGGTAAAGCTGTGGAGCTGCAGCTGAAGAGGAAAGGGGGGAGGTTCCTAGAGAGTTCAGGCAGCTGACCTTTGTGGTGTTCATTACTGTGCAACTGCGAGCCCTTGCTGAAGGAGTGTCAAGGCCGTGTTGCTGTCTCTGGCTCCTGTACAACTGCAGCATGCCCATGCCTGGAATTGGTCCAGAGCATTAGGCACTGGCTCAGGGAAGAAACAGGCTCAACACAGAGAGAGAGTCCTTCCTCGTTCCTGGACAAGATCCAGAGCACCAGACTTGCTCTCACAGTCACTCTCCAGATCTGGACTTGATCCAAATGTTCTACAGGCAACTGGCTCAGGGAGAGAGAAGCAACGGAGACAGAATACACTGACTTGCCTGGATGTTATCCAACATGCAGGATTTTTCTTAACTTGCTGGGCTCAGGAGTGAACCAGGACTCAAACAGCCCAATAATCTCACTGAGAGACCATTCTATCTTACACTAAGGCCAGCAGAAGGGCAGTTCTTTAATTATCACAGTAACACAAGAGAAATATTTTTTAACATAACTGGATCTTTTAGATTTGCTTGGGTTTTATATTTTGTAATGCAAGGTAAGGTTGAATGTCTTAATTTTTAAGACATTCTCAACATCAAAAGGAGGTGGCATAATAGGACCTTCAGATAAGAGCTACTTGAGGCAAAAGTGGATTTGGAAAGAAATGATACTTTAGAGAGATGTTTAGAAAACACAGTGAACATGGTGCAGAGATTCCACAGCCTACAAGGTTTTAAGCCGATACATTCCTATCATATATAAAAAGAGTTAGCACTGGAAAATAACGCAGGAAACAAAGCTGTGTAAAGGTCTCTGGGACACCATTCACCAGTGCCTTAAAGGAATGGCCCAAAAATCATCACTGATAAGACTTTCCTAGTGTTAACAGGAAAGTAACAGGCACCTTTGTCTGTGAGAACACTGTCCTGTTTTAATGTCATGAATTACCTTGCCTGTTACATTTTAAGGAAAAGAGAAAAGCTTAAAGAAATCCCAATGACCTTTACCATGGAAAGAAAAAGCTACTCAAACACTGAATACTGTTAAATACTGTTTGCATGGTAACTGTTAAAACAACACTCCAAAGCCAAGAAAGAAGGCTGTTAAAAATGAAAAACCACAGAACATAGCAGAGCTAAACCAAGTCAGCAGTCAGTCTACAAAGTGTTTATATGAAACACTATCTGTCTTCTGCTACTGCACTAAAATGCCAGAATTTTCCAATTAATCTCTCATCTTTCACAGAAAACATCATTAAAGTATTTCACAATCACATAACTCTAAAAATAGGAAAGATTTTAAGGTAGGAGAGGTGCCTGGGAAGCAAGAGAATGGCAGTGAGGGAAGGGGATTATCATCATCAGCTCCAAGCACTGACATGAAAGAGCAGCTTCACCTGCATGATTGCATGAAAAGGACTGAGAAGCAACTATCTTGAGTAAGCAATGCAACTAAGCAGTGAAATGAAGGCAAGAGACCTTCTTGGGCTGCAGTTTCATGGAAAGGGTGCCAACAAATATTAATTTGAAACCAAATACTTACTTCATTTTAGTCCACTGTTGCCTTTGAACAACCGTGCACTTGCCATTGAATACAAAATAAGAAATCCCAACCTCATCCTGTTCCTTGGGTGCTATTCCCTCCTTGTGCCAGTGCATTTTCCCAGCCATACAGTGGAACCAGATTGGGAAAATGACCCAGCTCAGATGCTAACATGACAAAAAGCAGTTTCAGACAAACTGAACTCCCCATCAAGTTCACACACGGCTGTATGAATGCTGGGATTAGACAAAGGAGGAGGCAGGAAGGAAGTGCAGTGGGGCATTTGGGGCACATTACAAAGTTACAAAATTATGAGCACTTCTGGATATAGTTCCACTTTCTCTGACCCAGGTCTGTTCACAAAATGGAGAAAAACATGGGGCTAATAGAAACGCAGTGGGCTCCTGCTAAGACTAATTTACTTATCCCTGTATCTACATTTCCAGAAAACAGGGGAATCCTAGATTACAATAATCCTGAACTCATCAATATTTTAATTATTCCTTACATACTTACAATCTAAGATACTTCAAGGAATTTATTTATTTATAGGAAAGCTTACTATTAACTACTCTGAGACTTGCAAAAACACCTCTTCAGATCCTTAGGGACACGACACAAAAGGAGATTTCTGCCACCGGTTTAGCTGAGAGAGTAATCAGGCAGTTGTAACAGCTAACAAGCTTTGCCTTTCACTGCTTAATAGAAGGAACTGCTGCAGAAATACAAAATAGTGAAGTCACTAGCCTGAACAGAATGGTAGCAGGAGGAAAAAAATCATTACAAATTTTCTGAATGTACACAAAAGCACCTTGATTTCTCACAGAAATGGGGAAGGCACTGGGAAGAGCCCCAGAAGGCAGCAGCGGAAACTGGAAACTCTCCCCAACTCACCTGTGCTTGCTTTTATATCCATTCCCAGGAGTACACTTCCCCCCTCACCCCCGCTCCGACTGCTCTGTGCTGAGGCTGCCTTTCACCATCTTGTTCTGCAAGGAGGGAAGAGAGCAAGGAAGGGGGGGCTGACGAACCAGCAAGCCAAACAGAGGAGGAAAAAGAAAATGAGGGAGCAACGGAAGACAGGGGTAGGGAAAGTGAACATACAGAAAGTGAGAGAGAGAAAGAGAAGTCAGTATTGGAACCAGACATAGATTTTTCAGACAGAGTTTTCCCTGAGACAAAAGCAGGCAATTCCGCAAAAGTAAAGAGTTTGAGATATGAAAGCCTGGGTTATTTTAAGAAACACAAAATTTAACACAAAAGGATAGAACAAGCTGAGAAGCATCACTTTAAAATTGCTCCAGAGATGGCTTAAGATAATCTAAGACTGCAGAGCCACTGAAAGGTGAGGTATCCCATACCCTTTATAGACTACTCAGTGCCTCGGCATCCTCCTCTGCTCTGTTGCAACAACATTTGCTGCGAAGCAGACACAGAGCCAGTTGGATTTGTGAGAGGAAGCTAACCCTTCAAAAGATGATTAGTTTTCAGACAGCGTTTTCCCTGTGATAAAAGCTGATATTTTGCATAAGTAGCACATTCAGGACATGGTTGGTTGAAGCATCAATGCTGACAGAAGGAAATGGGAAAGCTCACTGGGGAGCACAGGGAAAGGCAGGACCAGTCCCTCTGGACTTAGCTTGCTTATGCCTGAAGTGTCAAGCGCAGTTAATGAGGCAAGAAGCACCTTTGCTCTCCAGGAGCCGCTTATTATGATGAAGTGTATTTACCGATGTGAGGCATGGACTGCAAAAGGGCAAGAAGCACAGCACTGGGGGACTTACTCAGCGCTAGTGGATTTATAAAGTTAGCTCTTCCACCCATTAACTACAGAAGGGTGAGGTATTAGACAGATACTAATTAGCTAAACAGATACTAATAATGCTAAACTGGTGTTACCTAAAAGCATGGCTTTCAATGGTCTTAAAGTCTTTCTTCCTCTCAATTGCTCAGGTTTATATAATGCAAAATAAAATTGATGCCATTTGTTCTCCAGTCATTCTAGAGCAATGGTTTTCAACCTTCCTGTTCCTGCCTTGTCACTGTCTGGAACTCCCCTTTCCAGCCACTACAATGGAAGGAGCAGAGTGATCCTATATTCTGCACTGCAGAAGAATTTGAAACAAACAGTAATGATTAGTGAAACACATGGTGAGGGCAGAGTCAGCCAAGCAAAGACAACTCTGCTTGAATTTAAACAAATGATTCGTGTCTTTACTAAGCAAAAGCCAACAAACTTCAGTGACAAAGAGAGGCTGCTGGTATTGAATTTCTGGTTTTGATGCAACAAAGAAAACAATCTGCGGTGGGACAGTTTTGAACAAAATTCAAAATTTTATTGCCTCATGCAGTACCTTTTATGAACTTAACTGGTAGTTTTCCCCCTCTCACCTCCCCAAGATTATTTCAGAAACCCATAAGCCTTCTCAAAAACTTCTCTGGGAGGCTGGATTCTTTGTCTGAAACTGAAACAGTTGTTTCCTTTCACCGAAGGGAGCACCATCACTGCAAGTGCTCACATACAGCAGCAATGACTCGAGCCGTCTATGTAACACTGTATTTCCCTGTAATAATCAGGCAATGGGGAGCAAAAATAAAAAAGCCTTCAAAACCCCAGCCTTCTGTCATGGCTTAAACCCCAGCTAGCAACTAAGTACCAGGAAGAAAATAACCATTCCAGCCAAAACCAGGACACCCTCCAATTATCTTTAGCCAAATATCCAAAGTTGGGCAAAGGGTGGCACTTAGGTAGTTGCATTCCACAGTAAGGGGAACTCATCCTTCCCGTTTTTGTTTGGCAAGATCTGCAGGTTCTCGTAGCATTTAATGCATCAATTTAAGCTTGCTGTACATTGTCAACATTATTCCACAATTGTGCAGAATAATTTATTTTCTTTTATGTGATGAAAAGTAGGCCAATTCTGGATAACACCCTGAATGTGCACTGAATCTTCCAGCACATTTTAAATACGTGTGTATAAATACATCATTTTGTGGTAGAATACCCAGAAAGGAATACAAGACTAATTCTTGTATGTTTACAAAAGACAGATTAAGGATAATCTGTGAAGACAGAAGACCACCAGATGTCAGTCTAGTTCTAGGCAGAGAAGAGATCTGCAGATGAGAACTAAATAGAGACTAACCCCCACTAGAAAGCAACATAATTCTTCCCTATTATCATTTATTTTCCAGCACAAGCCATCCCCACTCTTGCACAATTCCTGTTGTATCCAACTGGCCACAAGAACTGGATACTTCTGAGCATTTAAAACTGGAAGACTGGTATCCACAGCCTCCCAGAGATGCATCCTCCCTTACAGGCTGGGAGGGGCATTCCCAGCACTGTATCCTGTTACTTATGAGTACAAGAGAGTATGTACTGTCTACCTTGTCTCCTCTTTCCATACAGACAGCTCTTAGCGCCACAGTGTTTGCAGGCTCCAGAGACATTTAATTAAGGATACCCAAACCCTGGGCAGAAGCAGCATATGGGTCTTCTGAGTCAAAGATCTACAGAACAATCCAACAGATTTATTGAAGGCTGAGTGGTAGGACTCAGTCTAAAACCTACCACTAAACTAGAAAATAGTGTTTCCCACAACCAGGAGGACTTTTCCATAAGCCATTTTTCTTCTTGCATCCTCAGTAAATTCAAGGAGAAAAACCACAGACAGTTCAATGTAGCACTCAAACAGAAACAGCAAGGCAATGTACTGATTCTATCACAGAATTCAGGAAATGAAGCTGAGCTTGCTAGAGTCATCAAGGATCTAAAGAACAACTGAACAGATGGGACAAAAATTTTATCTTCTTAAACTCTGTATTCTTCTTGAGTTGATGTCTGCCCCCAGCAAACACATACCACAAGCACACATCACAGAGGAATTACACTAGAATTACACATTAGAAGCATATCTGACTGCAGATGTTATCCAGGTATAAAATTACTAATCCAAATTTAAAAACCAGAAGAAGGTAGCAAAAAAACAAGTCTAATCCAGGAGAGGATTCTTACCTTGTGCTTGGGGCACCTCACTGAGAAATTCTCTTCGTTTAGTAAACAATCTAAAGGAGGAAAAGACAGAAATTTATTACTTTTTAAATGAAAACCGACTTGAATAATACATCACGTGTTAATCTTGCCTCACAGGTATAAATTTTTCATTCAAAGATCTCTTATAGGAATACTATGTTATTAGAAGGTTCATCCCTTCCACCCTTAAAGTTTTAGCAAACAAAATTACTCAACACCCCAAGTGACAATGTTGCCTGGATTACCAAGCATTCCTGGTTTTCCCGATGCTCTGTATGTAGTAAGAATCATAACAGCAAATCTACAAATCCTGTGCCCCAATCCCATTCAGCTTTTCCAGACTTCCTTGCTTCAGTACAACGAAGACAGACACATTCATCCAACTTGAACAGACGATCCTTGTTTTTCATAGCAAAATCATTGCCTTTCACCCCAAGGCCCTGCCAACATCAGGGGGAGAAGGGGTGTGTGTCTCTAGGTATGGGTGTATACAGTTCATCTGAAATCCCAAATCCTGGTGATCAGTTTACACTGTGACACTATGTGTCTAGTAGCCAGGTCACTCATGCTGCTCTTGGATCTGCTTCCATGACTCATATATGTGAAGCTTCTATGATCTATGAAAAAGTTTTATTAATGATTTAACCTATTGCAAAAAGTGGGGCACCTATGTAGAATTGCTTATTTAGGAACAAATTAAGCAATACTGCCATTTGAAAAGCATTTCTTTAGCAGCACTGCCAGTCTAAGAGTTGTTTCTCCTCTCATACCCCCTCCCAAACTACACCTCTGAGGGATGAGTCAGCTTCCAGAACTTCAGCCGAGGGAAAAAAGCAGCACTCCCCTCAGAGCATTCAGCTGCCTCCCCTGGGCACCCTGAACTGCAGGGTCACCTCTCAACCTGCCCAAATGTCTGACATTGTTCTGTTCCAGCCACCTCCCCCACGGGAGGCAGGCTGACCCAGCACTACCACCACACCAGTAGGGCCAAGCACCACCACCCCCTCAGCGCGACCAACACCGATCGGGAGAATTTAGCAAGGTGCTCACGACCTCCTGTCTGCTCCAACCTACCCCAACAGCTCGCAAGTGAAGAAGCACAATGGTAAATAAAATGTGCTAATTTAAAATGCTCTTAAGTATGTAGCATAACCAGTGCTACCTGCTGTTTCAATCTGCTGGAAGAGTTTAGCAGACAGCAGGAGACTGGAACTAAAGCTTGAGGGAAAAGCTTTCTAGATACCCAGGCTTTGGCAGAGCATCCCTCTGCTATGAAATGCCTATGTTTCAACACGAATGCCTCTGGCCTGAATCAAAGGGAAACAGCATGCAATGGGCTAAGTTACTTGAGAGATTTTAGGAAAGGGGAGTAAAACCCTTAATCCTGCCACAGATAATTTCAAATGCAGCATTAGCAAATCACAGGAAATAAATAAAATGTTTTCTCATTATAAGGGCAGGAATCGAACATTTAGTCTACAGCATGAATTATCACTGCATAATACAGCAATCATCAAAAATATACAGAGCAATCATAAAAACATACACAGTATGTTAGAACAGGATGGAGTTTTCTTCTTTCTTGGAAACTCAACATCGGTAATGAATGCAGTTCTCTAGCTAGTACATCAGAAAGGAAGATTGTACAAGGATCAGAAAGAACTGCCAGAAACCTTGTACCTCATGCCTGATCTGTGATGGAGCTCAATTTCTTACTAAGATCAGCATTTTTGTTGCAAATACTAATAGCAGATCCAATTAATAGCAATTTCTTTTGTTTCTATTAAAGGACAACTATGAAAAATTTCATCAGTACACTGTAGAAAATCATCTGAATACCAATAA